TGAATCCAGAGCCTGATTGTATTGTGGTTACTTTACCCTCTATGCATTCCCATACAGGAATTTCAATGCAGAGAGAAGATAATATCTTAGAATGGACATTTTGGCACACAAACAGAGTAAAAACTTAAAGACCTATGTAGAAAAGGTTTCTGAGTTGATTCTAAAAGAAAAATTGAGACATTGTCAATTAGCAGGAATAGACCCAGGAGAAATTGTTGTACCTTTTACTAATGCTGAAATTTCCTCACTATGGGCAGAAAATGAATATTGGCAAAGAGCTTGCAGTCATTTTTGGGAGAGATTAACAACAAATATCCCAAAAGCAGGATAATTCAGTTTATAAAGAGAACTAACTAGATCCATCCTCACATTGTTGAGGGAACACCAATTTCTGGAGCCCCTACATTCTATACTGATAAAAACAAATCAGGAAAAGCACATTGTAGGTCAGGTAGTTTAAGTAAAGTTGCTCAAACCCTTTATGGTTCTGTCCAAAAGTCAGAATTACATGCTATTTTCATGGTGTCATTAGATTTTCTACAAACTCTTAATATATTTACTGACTCTCAGTATGCAGAATGAGTTATTTTATATATTTAAATAGCTGAATTTATTCCATAGGATTCAGAATTGACTTTTTTACTTGTTGAATTACAAGAAATAATCAGAAATAAAAACCATCTCATATGTAACACATAGCAGATTCCATACATGTCTACCTGGCCCTCTAGCACAAGGTAATGATGAAATTGATCAACTATTGGTAGGAAATGTCCTAGAAGCCACAGAATTTCATAATAAACAACATGTTAATGGCAAGGATTTGAAAAGGGATTTTTCCATCACTTGGCAACAAGCCAAGAAAATTATAAGGACGTGTCCTACTAGTTCTTTGTATAAACAAATTCCACTACCTGCAGGAAGTAGATCAAAGGGTACTCAAAGGAATGAAATCTGGCAGATGGATATGTTTCATATTGCAAAATTTGAAAAATTAAAATATGTGCACCATGCAATAGATATATATTCAGGACTTCAATGGGTAACTGATTTGAGTTCTGAAAAGGCTGATTCTGTAACAACATATTTGTTAAACGTTATGGCCATGGAGATAACTGTACAAATTAAGACTGACAATATTCTAGCATATGTCTCTATCAAAATGAACATGCTTTTTACATATTACAACATAAAGCATATTACAGATTTACCACACAATCAAACAGGACAAGCAGTTATAGAAAGATGTAACCAAACTCTAAAAGATATGCTTAATAAACAGAAAAGGGTAATAAAGACCCCCAGAGATAGATTGCACAATACTTTATTAACTTTAAATCTTCTGAATGCTAATGAGAATTGAATGACAGCTGTGGAGAAACATTGGATAGTAGAAAATAACTGCTGAACTAAATCAGCCCGTATACTTTAAAGATGTGTTGACCTCAGAATGGAAACCAGGATATGTGTTACATTAGGGAAGGGGTTTTGCTTTTGTTTCCACAGGAGAAGAAATTGACAAGATTTGATTTGAACAACAGAGCCCTCTTGATTAGAAGAGGTGATAATTCATCAAACCATTCAATCTAAGCTAACTTGTAAGATTAATAAATATTTTTCATTTGATCAGATATAACTTGTCAAAAGAGAAACTTACCAAAGTTAGGGCTAGGGCAGGGAATTCTTTTTGCCTTTCCAGAAGAATTAAGGCATCCAGCTAATGAATCTGAAGAACATTGGTCAAATGAGACATCTGAAGAAAAAGGACAAATAATCCAGAGAAAATGTCCCAAGAAAAAGAGTAAATTGGCCTAATGGTATAGCACACTTCCAACAGGATAGAATTTCAAAAATCTTCCCAAATGCTCACTTCTGCTATTCTCCACAGACACATAATGCAAATGATCTTTTTGTAGTCACAGTCCAATTAAAAATTAAAGCTGGCTTTGGAGTTGGAATGTGGCTCTCTCTTTCTCTTAACCCAAGCATGCTTGTTAAAAGGAAAATACAAAATCTCTGTCTCATATCAGAAGAGCCACCTGATATTGGACAGAAAAAAAATGCAAAATTAAGGGACTATTCTATTGCCACTAATCTCAAAATTCTTTGGTTTTATTTTGACTCTTTAAATCTTTTCTTAAGGTATAATTATTAAATATACATTAATGTGTGTGTGTGTGTGTGTGTGTGTGTGTGTGTGTGTGTTTTAAACTTTTTGTCATGATATTAATGGTCATGAAGATTAGTAACTAATTCAAGAAAAAGGCTTAATCTAGCTTCCTGTATATGATTTCAGGTTTGAGTCTCTGTCAGGTAGCTAGGAATTAAGTTTTTGTACTCTGGATGTACATAACAAATTATGGTCCTTTAACCTCTTTAAGATCTGCTTCATATGACATTCGGGCGTTGGTGGCATACACCTTTAATCCCAGCACTCGGGAGGCAGAGGCAGGTGGATCTCTGTGAGTTTGAGACCAGCCTGGTCCACAAGAGCTAGTTCCAGGACAGCCTCCAAAGCCACAGAGAAACACTGTCTCGAAAAACCAAAAAAATAAAAATAAAAAAAATAAGTTTTCTACAGTGATCCATGACCATGCCTAACAGTGACCTTTTAAGTCTCCAAAAGGATGATGGGACCCCACAATGATGATTCCACCTGGATTGTGGTAATGCCACTAGGCTGACAAACACCACCCAAAGATCAATTTGGGACTACAAACTGCTCAGAACAATTTCAAATTGGCTTAGCTGAGATGGTCCAGCTTCACTGACTACTCTAGCTAAGACTTGAGATAAGCTCTGAACTTTCTCATTTCACAGAGACTGAACAATAAATGATAAAGCTGCTCTCACAGGACTTGACAATTATCTCATTTTTGTCAAGGCCCACTAAAGATGCTGTGGTCCCCAGACAACAGGATGTAATTTTAAGAACATAATGCCCACATTCCCAAGAGATAGAGTGGGCAGTTTTTGTTTATTCATTTGGGTTATATGTGATAATGTATTATGTATGATTAATTAAAACTTGCCTGAGGATTCAAAAAGCAAAGTCAGCCTCAAGCTATAGAGATCAGGCAGTGTTGATACACAAATTTAATTCCAACAGCCATAGTTGACAGGAGTAATACGGCTGGGCAGAGAAATGAATATAGGGAGGAGACAGGATCTGAGAACCTTTTGCCTCTGAGGATTTGTGGAGACAGGATTGCTATTTCAACTAGAAGTTAAGATCTACTGGATTGGCTGCTTTGTTTCTCTGATCTTCAACTTGAAGCTTGTATCCCAATATCTGTGTCTGGGTCATTGATTTATCATGTTACAGTTATGGATATTTGACATCATTTAGGTGGCTTGGTTACAAGTTGTTATTGGTAATGACCAGGAAAAAAGCTAAACAAAGGAGATTAGATTCAGGGATTTCTTTCTAAAAGAGGAGGGATATAGAAAAAGGATAAAAGGGTAGATTATTGAATCTAATTTTAAACCAAAAAGCAACTAATAGTTATTATTACAAGCTATTCAGGATAATAAAGAAATGTAGATTTGTAGCTAGTCACCTATTACAATCAAACTTGAGGTCATGTTATATATGTTTTCAAGGTCAAATAGAGATATATTTTAGATATACAGGCAGTCTTTAAACACGCAGAGATCTACAGAATATGTCAATTAAGACATTTTAATAATATAAGATTGTTTTTCTTATGACAATGTCTGCTCCTGGCAGCACCAATCTACTTCAAAGAAGATTATGGGCATTGAAGAAACTCCATATGGAGCTTACTTTTTATGGCAAAAGTTAGTCACTGGGCAAGAAACTGCTCTTGCCTTGACTGCTGACAGTTACTGTCTAAGTTGAGCATGCAGGACCCAAAAGAAAGTGAGTGCTGAATTTTGCCAAGACAAGGTAGGACAGTCCTTCAAAATCCTACATCACTGAAAAATCTGACAGATATTCCAGGCCTGTAAGCAGAATATAGATGCTCCAACGTTGTAGAGGAACCTTGGGTGACTGTTCAGGAAGCCAGCTCTTTCTGTCATTTCTTAGTTTTGGAAGTTGTTTGCTCTGCACTTCCTGTTTACTCAAGTAATATTATTTCCTTCTCGGGTGTCTGAGGGAGTTGAAGACTAGATCATTATAATTTTCCTTGTTACAAAGTTCAGAAAAGGAACTCACAAAAGTGGTGTAAAGTGTATAACATTGAGCGACATAAAAAGTTAGTTTTAGGTAAATAAAGTTAGGAATGAAAGTGAATTAGGTACAACACTTCTGACTCACCAACATAGGACAGATAATGGAGTATTTCCTCTGAATTTGTCAAACTAAAACAGACTAGACATTGTTATTGTAATTATTGCCCATATATATTTTCAAATACTTACTATACTTATTGTATATAGTTTTACTATGTTAGCTTTATTCAGACAAAGGGGGAAATGCTGTGTGATATTTTGATTGTGTTCTAACAAATAAAGCTTGCTTGGAGTCAGAACCACTAACTAAACTGGCCAAAATTAACCATAGAGGTTTGGAGGATTGCAGACAGAAAGGAGACAGCAAGTAGTAAGGAGGGGCAGGGAAAGGATCTCACTCAGTTCCTTTTCGGTCAGAGGAATCAAAGAGGTAGGAAGTGATTATGGATCTCCCCTGCTTCTCTGATCTTTCAGGTTTTTACCCTGAAACCTGACTCCTAATTTTTATTGATTAGATTAACACTTCACATAAGTGAAATTAAATACTTTGCCCTGGTCATAGTGTTTTATCACAGCAATAGAAAAGTAACTAAGGTAATTAATTCAGCCTAGGCCCTAGGTTGTGATTAGGTCCATTCCCCACATATCTTAACATATATTATGCATAGGACCTAGCACAGACCTATGTAGGCTCCATAATTACTACTCCAGTCTCTGTGAGACCCCATGGGCCCTACTTTGAACAACTATGCTTTTTGAAATTATATCCAAAGAAACTAAAACCATCTCGAGCCTTCACATACCCATGTTTTCCTTTGACAAGGCTTCATCAGAACACACATTTTCAACAGAACATTTTAAAGCAGCATTCCTGAAAAAGATTTTGGCAGATTCAATTTCAGACATGTGACCCCACACATAAGGATATGCATGCAAGCACATGTGCACATATACATTTTACTGCACAGACAGAAATGTGTAGTTCTTGGTAACTGTATTCTGTGTTCTGTGACTGCATAAGTCTCAATCTTTGGGTGTTTGTCCTTGGTTGTCTCACATAGCACTGTTCAATGCAGAAAGCATGGAACGTATATGTCCTGCATTCTCAGTAGCTACAAAGCACTGAGAAGCTAATCCAATGAGCACTCACACAGGCTTCTTCATGTAATTATCTTCCAAAAACATATTAAGTAATTACTGTTGTCATTATGTAAAGAAGTTGAGAAACTGTAGCTACAAGAGGAAATGAGAGGTTTGGCACCATAGGTATATCGCTGACCATGACAGAACCTGCTCTGGAAGATGGCAAAGCCATACTTCCCCATCACATTGTGCTCCTGATGAGAGACAGAAAACATCTGTGCCAATGCACTGTTGCCAATAAAAAGTTCCCATGAGTCACTTCTTCAAGTCATGACTCTTCATCTCTTAGATAGGAATAGCTGTAAATACCCTCAAATGTGTGTGATGTAATTACTGTGGTGTATAACTGAGATAAGGCAATCGAAGTCCATTTTGGGGGAAATAGTTATTTAGCCAGAAAGTGGTGGTGCACACCTATAATCCCAGCTCTTGGGAGGCAGAGGCAGGCAGATCTTTGTGAGTTCGAGGTCAGCCTGGTCTACAGAGCTAATTCCAGGACAGCCAGTGCTACACAGAGAAACGCTGACTTGAAAACAAACAAACAAAAAACACCAGAATTAGCTATATACTGGGTGGAGATACTTTTGCACAGGAATGACAACCTGAGTTCATTCCCGAGATCTTGTAAGGTGGCAGGAAAGAACCAGAACCAATTCCTAAAACCTGTCCTCTGACCTCCACACATGCACTGTGGACGCCCATGCCCACATACATCATAAACACAAAATAAAATAAGATGAAATAAATAATGAATAAATAATTTTAAAATGGCTTTCTTCTTCTGCAAAGATATGCAAGAGGAGGTCTAATAGTGTCCACCTCTGTCTGTGAGTGGAAAGCTAGTACAGCCCCAGTCACATACAGAAACACACATGCTAAGGCTAGTTCAATTGGAAGCATTGACTTATTATCATTAGCTTTTCACTTTACCATGGAGATTTGATGCTGGCTTGTCTTACCTATTTAAAACTAAAAACAATTTATGCATGGTTGTTCACATGATATTAATCTTTACAAGTTCTGGTTTAACATTTTTACAAGACTCTAACACATCTTCAGCCAAGTATGATGGCTACAATCCCAGCATCTGAGAGGCTGAGGCAGGAGGGCTATAAGCTCAAGAGTAGCCTAGGCTACACAGCAAAACACTGTTAGAAAACAGACCAAGCAAAATAAAGCATAATTTTCTGTAGGGGAAGCTGTAGCCACGCCTTCTTAGGGGCTGGCTACAGGAGTACCTGAGGGCTTGTGAAGGTGTGGTCAGAGTGAGTAGGGGGACTGCGTTTCGGTTTCTGTTTCTCTTTGCTTCTTGCGGTACAGACTACCACCGGCTGGCTGGTTCGCTCTGTAAGTAAGGCTTTTCCCTATTAAATACCCTTATATTTCTACCTGACTCCGTATTGGTAATTTCCTACTATAACTTTCCCTGCACTTCTAACTACTAACTTACTAATTCTTTCAAAAAGGTTTAAGCACAGTGAAGAAAAAAATCAGGAAAAATGTCATATAACAATTAAATATAATTTATACATCTCAATTATATCCCAGTACTTTAATTTCACAAAACATACCTTTTCCTCTTTCTGACCTTGGGTTTTTTCTTTTCAGTATTATTTTTGGAAACTTGCATCTATAAAGAAACATCAAAAATGAATTAAGTTTATATTGTTCCAGATCTGCCCAATATACCAAAATGGGGTTATACAGTTTAATAGTTGAGCTGAGGAGAAATGTTGGCCCATGCTCATAATCAAGACCTTTCTGTCTAGCCCTCCACTGCACAGTTTCTGTAGAGGCAGCCATCTATCAGGTTCCAGGGATAAAAGAATGGCCAGAGATGGAGCTGCTGTTTTAAATACTTCACATTCACCTTCACAAAACCATAAAAATGGTAGGAAAATTTAAACAATTTTTACAAACACCTAGCTTTGAGGAAAGCAGAAACACATAGAATGCAAAGGTACATGGGTGGGGACTGACACAGTAGAGGCCCCCAACAATCTGTAGCAAGGCACCACCAGAGAACACAGCTGTTTTTTTATGGTTTAAACAAAGACAAATTCTGTGCTCTGTGGCATCATGGTCAGAGAAGGCCTGGAAACAACAGAATTTTTCTGACTATAAACAGAACAAGAAAAACTTTATTTTACTCAACAGAGCACAAAAGCCTGCCACATTACATGGCAAAAGCAGCAATCCTGTTTTGTAAGGATTAACTCTTCCAAGTCCCCCGAGCCCTGCCACCACTTGGACACCTGAAATAACACACAGAGACTACATTAATTACAATGCTGCTGGCCAATGACTAGGATTACTTATCTGCTATCTCTGTTTTATGTATCAACCATAATTATAAAATTTTTATATTTTATAAAGACTTATCTGATCGAAGATGCCAGCAACATGCACCCTCTCTTGTTGACCGTCCAGGCAGTGAGATGTCTGTCAGATCTAGAGTTATATATTATCCTTCTCTGGTCTTTGATGGAGTTGAAGACAGATAGTTATGGTTATAGTTTTCTTTAGTTATTATAAAGATAAGCTACATATAAGACCTTGGAGACACAAAGATAGGAAAAATGATAGAATATTTTCTTTAAACCTTTCTAAATGTTAATGAACTAAATACTGTAACTATAGTTCTTACTTGAAAACTGTTTTGTTATATATTTTACTATGTTAATGGTAAAACCCTTCTTTTTATTTAGACACAAAAGAGGAGATGATGGGGGAAGTCCTTCTGTGTATATGTTTATCTTATTGGTTGTTGAATAAAGCACTGTTGGCCAATAGGGAAGAAAGATAGGAGGGACTAGGAATCGAGGAGGATTCTGGGAAATGTAGTAAAGAAAACTTTTGTGATCCAGGAGGGAAGTAACATAGCAGAGAGACTCAGAATATAAGCAGGGACAAGCAGGAAATCACTCTCCTCCTCTTCCTACACCTCTCTTCTCTGGAGCTGCCATGTGATCCCAACAAGAGAGGATGCATGCTGCCGGCATCCTCAATCAGACAAGTCATTATAAAATATATAGATTAGTAATTATGGCTGATATTTAAGACTGAGCTAGCAAGTAATAAATCCAAGTCATTGGCCAGCAGCATTGTACCTAATATTAATCTCTGTGTGTTATTTTAGGTGCCGGTGGGACTCGGGTGGCTATGAAAAGATTTATCATTACAATCTTGGAAAACTAACAAACAACAAACAAAAAAAGCAGTTATACCAGTGAAGTAAAAATCCAAAATTATGTATCTGAGAATATTAGGGTTTCCAAATCAAATACCAATACAAAGATTTTCCTAGGATTCCTAACTAGGAGAAGGCAGAAACACAAAAGCCAAGCAATTAATATAAAGACTCACATAGCATCTCATACACCACATTCACTTGTCAATAATAACCAAAATTAAAGGCATTTACAGGAAAAGTATATCCTGTAAAACAATATTTTCAGTGTATAGTTCAGTTGACATGAAGTTCAAAAGCAAGCAAAACAAGTGTATAGTCCTAGAGATAAAGACAGCGTCTGCTCTTGGAGCACTTATGACCACCTGCAATAGAAGCCTTCTTAACAGCGGTGCCAAGAAAAATATTATCAATTAAATCTCACCCCAAACACATGGGCCATATACATACATATATATGTACATATATACATATGTACATGGACATACAACTAGATTCGTTAACTGGAATGACAAATAGTAGAACTGCATTTAATTTTAAATGGAAGAAAATTCTTATGAATTGTACTTATATTAACTTCATATACTCTGACTTGACACACTCCATTTCCCTATGCCTTTTGATATCTAAATGAAAAGGTGTCATGTTTCAAACAAAAGGAACAAGCTTATTATCTGCCTTAACTCTGAAGGCATAAAGCATAGATTTAACATTTTGTTCTTATAGGAGGCATAATACATATTACAACCTTCTCTCGAGGGCAATCGCCAGTCAGTAATCACTAAAGAGCTAGTTAGCTACCTTGGCAGACATTCCAAAGGCAATCTGCATGCTTTCAATAATGTAGACAAACTCTTTGTCCAAAGATATCCTACAGAAGTTTGCAAAGCCAGTATGCCCATTTCCCTTTGGAAAAGATACCAGGGAGGCCTCCATGGAGGAAGGATGAAAATCTGCTTCCTGCAGTAGGTATAAATGATGGTCACAGCTGAACCAGAGTATCTGCAGGGCATGGCTAATGCACTCCAGTCTAGACAGACTACCCTCAGCATTTCCTTGAGAGGGAGGAGGACTGACATGCTAATTTTCTGTCCTTATTCTGGGTGCTACTCTTTTAAAGTATACAATTCTATTGTTTCTTACATATTCATTACTCATCAATTATCATATGTTAGCCAGGTCAATTTGCAGTAGAGTTTGGCATTCCCATGACCTCTGAACTGCATCAGAGCCTAGTGCTTGGCAGTGTGACTCATCAATACCTTGCTGCCTCCTGCTCTCTGCAGCGGCAGTTAAACTCTGGTTTCCTTGGTTGGGGGTCTTATCAGAGAGAACACTAGAATGTGCATCCAAGCAGTGAACAGAGGCACAGAAGGGAATCCTCTCTAAAAATAGAAGCTGGCTACCAGTTCCACCTTGAACAGAAGCCATGAAGGACTTTCTATTAGCACCTCCAACTGTGGCTAAGGATGAGGCTGGTAAAACTTCAAGGGGCTTTATGATGCAGTGTTTCACTCAGAGATTTTAAAGCCTTCTATTTAAATTTTCTAAAAGGTCTGTTCAGGGACTGAATACAAAAATTCAGGATGGCTTTTCATTTGTATTTCACTTGTATCTATAAAACACTTAGGAATGCTAAGAGTTAATCCCAACAAGGCACCCAGGGAGGAAAGAAAGCCCTGGAAGCTGGCTTTGTGGCACAGCTGCTCAACTGACAATGGAGCCAAAGATCAGATTATCTGACCTCTGGCTGGAGGGTCTATGGAAACCCAAGTCAGCTGCAGACATTTCCTGCTTCTGTGCAGTTTTTGTAAAACCATAGGCCATTTCAGCAAGGGATGCTGGGAGAGGGGGATGATGTTGGCAGAAGACACTCTTTCTAGGGAGCATCCTGAAATATACACATTTAAACTGATTGTTAAAACCTGATGTATAGAAAGCATTTAACAGTTACAGCACTGCATTATATTTTCTTATTAGCAAAGAAACGAGTGTTAAGAATATCATTATGTGTTTCACCATTTTTTTTCCCTATTGACCTGAATGGTAAGAATATTCAGTAATTCCTTAACCTGTGGCGATCACTCAAGTATTCTAAGCTGAAACCCCAGCTTAATATATAAGAACTTTTCTTCTGCAAGGAATAGACAGACTCTCCCCAATTATACAATAAAAAGTCACAGTCTTAATCATTTTGAAAGGATCTAACACTTTATACCACCTTCCTGATAAGTGCAGAAAGGATATGCTGCAATTAGGCTTATGACAGGGCATGAGTCCCTGTGGTCTGGTGATTGTGTTATCCAGTGTATGCTGGTGTAGGGATTCCTGCTGTGTACCTTGTATGAAAAAACTATTTTTGAAACAGTTGAAGATATAACCAAAAAGAAAAATAAATGGTACCTCAAAGTCATTGGTAGACTTATACAGAAGCCAAATATTTATAAACCAGAATATATTATAAACATGAATTCTGTAATAAGTCAATTCTATTAATTCTCACTGATATTGGACAGTAGTTGCTACATCTGAGCACAGAAAGATTATTTATATCTAGGGACATAGCTACAGTCTATAAAATACAAACTCATTACTCAAATTTCTATTTTATGTTATACTAATAACATTATTGCTTTTGCTTTTGACAGGATGAAGCTGAGGAAGCAGGTAGAGGCATCCCCAACAGACAATTACAAATATTTTCTACCTAGAGTTAGTTCAAGTCATGGATGCAAAACCCATGAATTTACAGGGTAAATTTTATTAATTTACTCAAATTATAAGTGAATTAATCTTTTTTTATTAAATGCCCATGGTTTTTTTAGATTTTTTTTTAATTTATTTATTATGTTTAAAGTCTTTTGCCTGCATGCCAGCAGAGGGCACCAGATCTCATTCAAGGTGGTTTTGAGTCACCATGTGGTTGCTGGGAATTGAACTCAGGACCTCTGGAAGAACAGTCAGTGCTCTTAACTGCTGAGCCATCTCTCCAGCCTGTGAATTAATCTTAAGTAAATCTTTAAATGAGTATTATACAGAAAATAACAAAAATAAAAAAGAAAGTTATTCTTATTGTGAATGTGATTTTCAAAAAGAAAACCTTTTTATTGGTAATAAGTACTAAAACAGTTTTTACAGACAGGATCTGTTGCAGCCCTGGCTGGTCTTAAACTCCCTGTGTAGCTGAGGATGACCTTGAACTCCTGATCCTGCTTCCCTGCCTCCCAAAGCTGGGATTGCAGGTGTGCCCACCTTGTCCAGGTAAGGTGGTGCTGGGAACTGAATCCAGGGCTTTATGTACGCTAGACAAGCATTGTGCCACCTGAGCTTCACCCTCAGCACCAAGGCTGAAAACAGTCAATAAAAGAAAAAAGTTACTGGTAGTTGAACATTGATTTCTTTTTAAACCCTGGACTTTCTGAGCTGAAGTGCTACGCTAA